GTGTTTCCAAGGCTGTAAATCTTTATGGAAGCAGACTGCCACATCTTTCCCCTTCAGAGCAGCTGGTGGGTTAGAACCACCGACCTTTTTGGTTAGCGGCAGGCGCTTCATTTTAACCACTGCATCACCAGGGATAAGCATCAGTTATCTGGAAAAATCACTTGTGTAGATCTGTAGATTATTGTCCAGTGCAAAATAGATGCAGCAAACATCCCATTTGCTCTACAGTATTTTTATGTACATATTACTGTCAGGATACTTTGATTTTCAGTATTCTAGTTTTAAGGAGTTAAAGTCACCAGCCTTATTTAGAAAGTTTAAATGGTCCTCAAATAAGCCTAAAACATAATGAAGTACAAAATTTAAGGACAGGAAGAGACAAAACAAAGTACGTGAAAAATAGACGTCCCAGTCAAGCCCAGAACCTCCATAATGATGTTTCAAAGTATGGTGGGAATTTTTTCTCATTCAGCTGTTTCATTCTCTTACCTGTTAAAGGTTTGAGGAGAAAGTCTTTAAAATTTTGTAAAACAGCTCATTTCTTAAATATTGTGCAAATAGTTTCATAAGAAAAAAGTTATGATATTAATTTTGTAAACAGTCTCACCTTCATAAAGCTGGATGGTTAATTTTTTATTGTTTAAATTGCATTAAAGTTATCAAAAGCTTTTTAGAAAAAAAATTGCACTAGGAAAGCCTGTCCATTGTATTTTTCAAAAGAAAGCTGGTTTCTACAATATTATTCACATTTGTAAACAGCATCAATGAACCTGCACATAAAAGGTTAAATGTTTGCAGACCATCCTTTTTTGCCTCAAAGATCAGAGACAAATTACTGTTTTTATTTTACATTCCCTTGATGAGGATAATGATAAACAGCTGTCACTTCAGTGCTTAGATTGCAAGGAATCCTATTGCAATCCTGTAATTTAAACAAAGAAAAAATACATAGTCATACATGGTATACATACAGAAAAGAGCACAATAGGGAATTTGGTTAGAACTGGAGGTGGAGAAAAAAGAGCATTTGCTCTCTGAGATTACTCAGTTAAAAGAAAAATTCCATCTATGTGCCTTTTTTTTCCATTCATCTTAGACATTTTAGAATGCTAGATTACTGCTTGTTTCTTTCTAAAAACATCAAATTTGTGTTCTGAATTCTGTGACTTCCCACCATGTCCATGGTATCAGTTAAAATCTGTACGTGACCACGTGTCTACTGTTGTTGTGTGCCCTCGAGTCAATTCTGACTCAAAGCGACTCTAGAGGACAGAGTAGAACCGCCCCCATAGGGTTTCCAAGCGGCGGCTGGTGGATTCGAACTGCCAACCTTTTGTTTAGCAGCCTGGGCTCTTAACCACTTTGACACTACTAGTATTTCCAAAACGCAAAGAGAACTTTATATTGTTTTATTAGTTATTTTGGAAACACCTCTTTTAGTTTTTCAAAAATATCGAGTTTTAGAACATTCAGTGTTCTTCACTCACTCTGCCACTTTGCTTATTGTATCTGATTTCAAACAGTGTAAATGAAGGAGCCAGGTGGCATAACAGTTAAGCACTTGGCTGCTAACCGAAAGGCTGGCGATTTGAACCCACCCAGCAGCTCTGCTCTGAAGGAGAAAGACTTGTTGGTGTTCTCCCATAAAGACTACAACCTAGAAAACTCTATAGAGCAGTTCTGCTCTGTCACATGGGTCACTACGAGTCGAAAATTGACTCAAGGGAACCTAGCAACAACAACATGAAAATGGAGAGGGTGATATAATTTCCCTAGTTTTTCATATTTCTGGAAATTAATAAATGATATTTTTCTGTTTTGACTCAACCATACTATTTTTCACGAATATCAGTACTTCATTGACATCTTTTTCCAAAAAGCTCTTTTTACACGTATTATTTGTGAAACCAACTTGATATATTATGGATGTTTCACTGTTTCATCATACTTCTTGTTTTTTACACTTAAGCAAAAGAAGAAATCGGTTTAAAATTGTATTCCTCTTGTATTTATTGAACACAGGGGTTGAAATTTTAGCTCCTGGAGCCTCAACATCCTCTTCTGTCAGTTGACAATGAGGCTGGTACCCACCTCCTAACCTTGTGGTGCGGATCTTCTGTGTAAAGTACTTAGCACAGTGCCTGGAACACAGTAAGGGCTCAGTAAATGTTCTCGGGAGAGATAGTATGTTGATGCTGAAATTCCGTCACCCACATAATGCCAAATACTATAGCAAAACCCAATTATGTTGTAGATGAAAGACAACTGAGTTTTATTGTACTCATTATGGAGGTTCGTACTGCTTTATATAAAAGATGTTTTCCTTAAAGGTGTAGATCATCTCTTCTCCTTCATAGATGTAATTTCATAATTATCTTATCATCCTTTTTATTATCAAAGAAGGTCCTAACTCACCAGCTTGGGGTTTCTCTACTCTCTCATTGCTTCAACAAGTAACCACTCCTAGGGACACTGAAATGCACTGGGCAGCATCTTGGACTTGAATAAGCTCTTATGTAGTGCTAACTCCACCTCCTCCCATGCACCAAGCTCTGTGCTATGTGCTGAGAAGGGAGAGAGAAACAAGATCCCCAGGTCTAGCAGGGGAGCCCGATATACCTAACCTGTTGCCATCGAGTCGATTCTGACTCATAGCAACCCTACGGGACAGAGTAGAACTGCCCCCATAGGGCTTCCAAGGAGCGGCTGGTGGATTCAAACTGCTGACCTTTTGGTTAGCAGCCGTATCTCTTAACCACTGCGCCACCAGGGCTCCAGGATATACCTAAGCTGGATATTAAATAATAAAATTGAGTGCAAGGCACAGATGAAGTGCAGAGGAGGAAGTGGTGGAGCATCTGAGGGCCTCTAGGAACTTTTCTAGAACAGGTGATGGGGACACAGGGCTTTGAAAGATGAAAGGTCTTCACAGGTAGGTGAAGGGTTGGTGGGAGGAGGGGATTCCAGGTGAGGAAAATAGCTTGCAGAAAACATGGAGATGTCAAACAAACAAAAAAGCATTTTATATTGCTTGAATTGAAAATGTTTTATATTCAAATTTGTCATCTTAAATCTTCATACTGTGTGTTGAGAGTCATACAGCCCTCTTAATCTTATTCCATGAATATCCAGGAAGGAAGGAAAGAACCTAACATTTACTGAGCACCTACAAGGCCCTCTGCTAGGTCATTCTGTATAGGTTAATATAGGTTACCTCATTTAGCTGCCGCAGGTTTTCAGGTAAGTATTCCCGTTTTAAAGGTGGGAAGCTGAGTCTCAGTCACATCAGGCCACACAACCAGTACATGATAAGCCTGAATTTGAACCTAAAGTTTTTACTTTCAAATACAATGCCCTTAATATGGCATTGAAGTTACCACTGATCCTTAGAATATTGGTGCAGTGTGGAGCGCATATACCCCAGAAAGAAGTTGAGAATGTGATTGGTTTCCTCACTGCTGTGGCTAACTTTTCCTCTATCATTTTACCACTTTGTAGCCTTAGCTTTTTACCTATTTACCCTAGGTCCTCTTGTGCCTATATCACAGACTAATAATAAAAATGAGACACTATGTCAGACTTGATTTAGTTCTTTATTTCACTGACCGAAAAGTTATTTTCAAAGAAATGATACAGGGGAAACAGCTTTCATTTTTGAGTCCTCCAGTTGTCTACCTTGTAGGAACAATAAGATTCCTCAGTAATGCCCTTCTGTCACTCTGAAGCATGGGGCCATACTCCCAGGAATGAAAAATGACTATTGTTTTTTAGAGTGAGCATATATTATTTTAATATGTTTTTTAAAGTGTTAGATATTCCTGAGAGAGAGAAGGCTGTATAAATGATTAGAACCAGCTCCTATCTGTGCTGTTGTTGATTTTGTATTCTGTAATCAGCCTTTCATGCATGCATATTAATTCAGTGAGAAGGCTTGTCATTTGTAGATCCAGTTAAGCTATTTAGCATAGTGCTTTGCCTAGAACTGATTGGATGACTGAAAAGCTGGCAGATCAAAGTATGCACATTTCCAAAGAAAAGTATTCCATGTCCACATTGGAAGCAATAAATTATTTCCCTTTTTTGCATTTGTAATTAAATCTTTCCAAATGCTAGAAAGTAGCCAGACCAATAACAGTATCTGTATCCTGTTCGGGGTTTTAGATGGTTCAATCTGACTTGAAATAGAGATCTTTTGTTCTAAATTGATTTCAATGCCAAGCCAATAGGTCAGCCCTTAATGATGAAGATGCCATTCCAGCCCAGCCTCTGGTGGATAAGCCAAAATTAATTAACTCAAGTCCCATAGTATAGAAAACAGATGCTTTTCTCATGTTGCACAAATAAATTTTTTGTGTATAGATGTGTTCTGCTTTATACAAAGAATAACACGTTGGAAGTTAAAATTGTACATTTTTCACAATGGAGCCAGCCTTTAGTAGTGATGACAGAAGCATGAATTTACATAACAAATTCCAGCAAATGCATGGAAGGATGAATTATGCTCTGTATCTCTTTTTTGGCTCCAGGCCAGCCCTTGGAGATTTAGTTTTGAATCGGGGCTGATCCAAATGCTGATCCATTCCAGAGCAGACTCAGGATTTCCAGAACGACACCAAGGCTATTTCTAATCTATAGAATCCCTGGGAGACTCCTCCCAGAGGTTTACATCTGCATCATATATCTGGATTCAGTTCTTTGGCCAGCTTGGAAATGGCTTAAAATTAGATTATTCTCTAGAGGTGTGTTGTTAGGTACATTGTTTATCTGGTTATTCGTCTCAACGTTCATTCAGAATTGGCAGGCTGAAAGTAGAATGATAGCTGTGTAGTTCTGATCTCTTTTCAGAATTATTGGATGTGCTGTAAGATAAAGATGTTACCATGTAGTAGTATAAACTCCAAATATGCTAAGCAGAAGTTGATTATCTGGTCATATCTAGTGTATTTTTTCTTTTGCACTAAGGTGAGACAATTCATGTTTTGTTGTTTCCTTTCGACTAGACTGAGAGTGACGAGAATGGACAAGCAGAAAACTTTTCCATGGACCCACAACTGGAGAGACAAGTGGAGACCATTCGCAATCTCGTAGACTCCTACATGTCTATTATCAACAAATGTATCCGCGATCTAATTCCAAAAACGATAATGCACCTTATGATCAATAACGTAAGTGATTATAAACTGTCTCATTTTAATGTCTGGCCCATCCTGGTGTAGTAATTGCTCATATTCTCTTCCATTTCTTTGTGATATTTTCTGGATAGCTGAAATACCTATTACCCAGATTCATCATTTTCCATCACAAGTGGTAAGTGACTGGCCAGTGAAAGAAAACTTAGGAAAGAAAACTTAAAACTAAAAAGTTCTCGTTTTGCAGCATTTCCCATTGGATATCTCCTCTAGAAAGGTGTGAATTTGCTTAGAATGAAGCCCAGCAAAAATATCATAGCCAAGGTCATGGTACAAATTAGTTTCAAAAACAGCAATAAAACCAGATGCCCTGGCTCCTAGACCATGACATTAAACACAAAAATAAAGAAAAGGAGGGGGCAGGAGAAGGAAGGAAGGAAAGAAGATAGGAAGGGGGGGAGGGAAGGAGGCTGGGAGGGAGAGAAGAAGGAAAAGCCACTTTTTTTGAGTATTATTTTTACTATATATGTAAAATTCCTTTTAGCATAGACGCTCATATTCTCTTGACATTTTATTGTACAAAATGTCTGGGATCCTGTTGTTGATTCTACAAGTGCCCCGTTGAATACAAGAAAACTGAAGCATAGTGAACACCCAGCCCTATGTCATACATATGTGTTGATTTTTTATTTGATTTAAAGTGAAGAGACCTTCAAGCGAGAGAATTAATGATATAATCACAACTAGAAAACTAATACTTTAACTCCTAATTCTATATTCCATCCACTTAACCCTGCAGCTTCTATAAATGGCTTTGGGTGAAAAAGCTAGTTGTTCCCCCTGAGCCTGTGAATTCCTAAAACGGGGTCCTCTATTTCTGGGTTATTTAAAGCAGTGCTGTGGCCTTTCCTCTTTGAAATTGGAATGGCTACTCTGCCTTCTGAAAAAGGATATGTTTCAGCCAATTTTCATAAAGTTCAGAATTTGGTGGGCAGTTTCCTTTGAAAGTTTACATTAAGTGCTCTGCCACTCAAGTCTCCATATGGAATTGTTTAAGAAGTTTAAAGCCCAGCAATAAATGCCTTGCCTCAGACATACTGTAAGCCTTTGTCTATTGAAATGCAGCAGCTGTTTCATTACTTAAACATACCAGGTAACAACGGCACAAAGAAATAGCAAGTTTATGGCAGGCGGTTGTTCTGGACAGGCTACAGGCAAAGCCACAGAGTTTTGTTCGGGGGCTTTAAAGCCAACACGCACCCCGTGGCAGGCACGTTTTGATGGCGTCTTCTCTGAAGTTCACCCTACCAGAAATTTCTCCATCAGAAAATCGAGGAAGTGGATCCAGCTTTATTCTAAAATTGTGTGTGGCCAGCTGACACATAATCCTGTATTTGAACCCTTCGGCATCAATACATGATTTTGTGAGGTCCTCGCGTCAGCCATCTGCTGGACAGCCATTCTTTTCCCCAGCTTATAAATGAAGAAATTGAGGCTCTGAGAGGTTAGGTGACTTGCTCAGGATCACACAGCTAGGGGCAGCAAAGTCAGGATTAAAATCCAGGTTTTCTCCTTACAGTCTGGTTTTTTCTCCATTTCAACATCAGATATTGTGTATGGCAGGGTTAGGAAAACTGTAAGTCTGCCTTCTCAAAGTAGGGGTCTTCTGTCCCCAAGGATATACATAGGGCATCTTCCTGGAGAGCTAATTTTACTTGAAGATTTAATCCGGGGGTGGGAGGAGAGGTAAGAAGATAACTATTTTAACCAATAGGTAATTTAAAACATTGTTTCTCATATTAAAACAAACCCAGATAATACAAAGTAGAATGTAAATGTTCTTATGGAATTTGTAAAAGAACAGATATGAAACTTAAAGGCATCTCCCACCTACACCATGAGCTCCTGGACCCCTGAAGGTCCACATTCACTCTCCTTGGCCGCTGGCACTTTGGTGGAAAATTAGTAACATGTGCCCTAGTTTCAAAACTCACTGTAACTTTAATGTGCATGAAGAAGAGTGTTATTTTAAATGTTCGTTATTTGAAAGGAAAGACCATCTTAAATGCCAGAGCACGGATTTCTTTCCAAGGGTGAAGAATTTACACTTGGATTTTTAGGTGAGAAAAATTCGTTAAGGGTGATTTTTTTTTTTTTTAATTCGTAATACTTTTTAAATACTATGAAAATGACAGTGTACTTCTTGCATAGATGCACAAAGATTTTGTTAAAGTCAGGCTATGGATGAAAAAAATGTCTTGAAGCTTAACATACATGCAGAAAATGCACATGTCATAATTGGATAGCTCTATGAATTCTCACAAAGTCAACACATTCCTGTAACCAGTATCCTGCTCAAGAAACAGATCATGGCCAGGACCCCAGAAACCCCACTCTCTCCCTCCGCAGCGTCCCCCCTCCCCAAAGATAAGACTCCCCTGATTTCTCACACTGTAGATTAGTTTTGCCTGTTTTTGAACTTTGGAATCATACAGTATGTGCTCTTTTGTGTCTAACTTATTTTGCCCAATATTATGTTTCTGAGAGTCAAGGACGCTGCTTTTTAAACAAGGAAAACTTCATTGGTCTTTAACGAAACTAAATTCCTGGAAAAGGGAAAGGAGGCTTAGGTAGATTGGAGAAAACTGTAAGATCTCCAAAAAAAGCACCAAATTCTAACCAAGCCCTTCTCTAAAACGAAACAAAATTAAACACTGCAATTAAAGTTTTATGTATGTATTCATGGGAACGAGAGATGCCACTGTGTTTTCCCGTGTGTTGCATACCCTGGTCCTCTCATCTGGAAACAAAGTGATTTTAAGGAAATGGTCTCCTTGGTAACTGAGCTGCATGAAAACTCTAGAAATATCTCTTCTATTTGCGAAGGCTTTTAAATGATCTTGGTAATAAAGACCAAGAAGGGTTAAGATCCAAACATATTTCAGGTTGCTAGAGAGGGAACGTTTTTAATGACCTCACATTCCTTTACGCTGAGCAGAGCGACATGGCGCAGTAATGCCTGTTTATCTCCCTCGTCGAGTTTGAGACGGAATGAAGCTTTGTGTGTGAGAATGTTTGAGAACCATACAAATATGTATAGGTATAAGGTGCTATAATTAAAAGCATAAATATTATTTCAAATCTCACATGCAAGTATAATTAGTTTACATTATGTTCAGTGAGGTATTTTCTAAATGCTGTCATCTAAAAGGGATCTACTTGGCCTGTAATTGTCCTGCAGAATTCTTGATTTACATATTTGTTCCCTTGACACACAAACTGCTCAGAAAGTCCCTGGGGTGTCTGGAAACTCCCCGAAGTCCCCCTCCTTTGTTCTAAACTCCAGTCATAGCCTCACAAGGCTAGGCTAGCAGGAGGAAGATAGAAGGGCCTTTCTAAAAAATTTGCTTTAAATACACAATAAAATGTTAATCTATGCCCTGTATTTAACTATGCCCTTGATGCGTGCACTATTGCAACAGCTTTCTATTTGTTATTCTGCTTCTATGTACCCAATGCCGATTTAGCCTATCTACTGTAAAAAAAAGAAAGAAAGGAAAAGGAATCCTGGTGGCACACTGGTTAAGCACTCAGCTGCTAACCAAATGGTTGGCAGTTCAAACCCACCCAGTGGCTCCACGGGAGAAAGACCTGGTGATCTGCTCCCATAAAGATTATAGCCTAGAAAACCCTCTGGGGCAGTTCTACTCTGTCACATGGGGTCACTGTGAGTCAAAATCAACTCAATAGCACCTAACAACAACTGTAAAAATAATAGCTTTTGTTTATTGAGCACTAACCATATGATGGGCATCATGTGAGACAGTTTATATTTATTATTTCACTTAATCTTCACAACAACTCATGAGGTAGCTACTGTTATTCCCATTTTAGAGATTAGGAACTTGGGGCCCAAAGAAGTTATATGCCCCCGACTAGTAAGTGTTAGAGCTAGGATTCAAATCCAGAGCCGTCCGATTCCAAAGCCCACACTCATAGGCCACTACACTATATTGCCGTTTTCCCTCATGCCAGTATAGGCAGTCCCCAGATTATGAACACCCTACCATAGTTATAAACCAACCCCCATAAAGCCTCTTATATTAAAAGTTTGAGGTATGTTCAGTAGTTCATAATAACAAACGGCTGCTACTTTGTGATGTGCATCAAAACATTATTATTATTGCTGTATTATTATGTTAAAGATGTTTTAGTGTATCTGGAAGTGTTTCTTTAATTTTTTTATGCATTGAAAGGTGCACTATATACTATATACTAATACAAACATTTGTCTAACTGACGTTAGATACAAACTGTACCTAAGTGTTCTGACTTACATACAAATTCAACTTAAAGACAGACTTAGGAATGGGGGACGGGGGGTGTGGTGTGGGAACGGGACTGCCTGTAATACTCATTATTTCAGAACATTGCCAAAACTTTTGGATAGTAGGAAAGTTTCAGTGTGTGACATTTTTAGTGGAAGAGTTGATTCAAGGCAGATCTTTGATCAGAATGCTGAAACAGGCCCTTACTATTTTATTTCGTGATTTGTTTGACAGTTGCTTCTTAATTCAGATCTGCTTTAAATCTATTCTTGGAAGAATCGTCTTTTAAATTGTGTTTAATAGATTCTAAGTGATACTCCAGTAAAATGTAAAGCTTCAAAAGAGCTTAACCCAATTGTTGGCCATTGCCAGGAAAATTGTCTGGTTTTGAGTTGCACCATCTATCCAGGCACACACACATACACCCAACAATGGAAGATTTGTGCACGTCTGTGACTCCTTGAGTACCTGCAAGTGTGTTTAGAAGTGCATAAATATTCAAGGAGGTAAAAGAAATATTCCTCAAGCCAAACTTACTGTCTTATTTCTAAATCTGATTTTCTTTCTTGACTTGATTTTCTATGCTTTCACTCACCCAAACCTCAACACTTGAGGTGTCTAACTGTTCCTTCTACCTTGTCCTTCACATCCAAATCACACCACATTCAGTTGACTTTTCCTTTATAATGTCATTATATTTACATATCC